GATGTTAGCAGTCACGAAGACTCGTGTAAACGTTAAATGAAGACATATGGCGAGGGAAAGATCTAGAGCCGTTAGGGAGGATTTTGTAAAATTTAAAGCCCTCTCCTCCTTCATCGCCGCAACTTACGTAACACGAAGTCTATAACACTGTAAATAGGTATCACTTAAGTTGTATATTTCTGACTAAAATTGGCGATAAGGTATACGATAAAAAATTATAGCCGTCGTGCCGTTATGGCTCGTGTGCTAATCCGTAGAATGCATTTGCATGTGAGTGCAGTTAACCTTTAGCGAGCGGTCGCGGCATGTGGATTTCCACCTGAAAAAGTTTGGGCCTAGAAAGTCCCTCGCACGTCCGGTTTCTCCGCTTATATCGTTTTTAATCGATTTTCGCCACTTCGCGGATTCATAAATATTTATATTTTCACGAATTTCTCAAATCTCGGTGCCGCACTAACAATTTTCGCAAAATGTTACGTCAGTTATAACGCGTAATTAATTGAATCTCATGAAAATATTTTTATGTTGCTTTTGTTCTGGAGAAATTATTTTGCAGTTGCCTTTCGGAGATTAAAAGCGAATGTTTCTCTTTAGAAAAGTAAATCGTATTGTGGTATGTATCATAATTAATTAAGCAATATCTACATTTCTTATAACATTTAACGCCTCTTACGTCATATAATTGAATTAAAATTAATATTAGTAAAAGTGATTTAATGAAAAAGCAAAGTCGTGTTACTGTGTGTTACTGATTGTACGTTTATTACAAAGTGAAAAAGACCACACAGTTTTTATTCTTTTCTATATTTATTTAAATAAAATTTTATTAGATCGCATATATTATAAAGTTGCAAATATTTAGTCTAATGTTGGTTAATATAGAAACGAAAGTTCAAGTACGTATTCTCCTCCGAGTTTCCATCCTCGTTTCTGCATCCCCTATTTAGCGCTTTTCATCTCTTGGGCGCATTTATAATTAGACGGTTGACTGCGATGATTGACGGTGATTGCGAACATACGAGGCAGAGACCTTTGCAAAGAGGGCTTTCGAGCTTACAAAATCCAGCAGTGCGCTTGCTAATTGGTTCGTTGCTCTTAATTGCACCATAGCTTCCCGGAACGATACTTGATAGATGAAGTGTGTTTGCTCTTCTCTCCGTTCTCATGAAACGAGCCCTTCAGTGACTGAATCATCTGAAAACCAATAACTTTATTCAACAAAACTTTCTTTCTCTCTGTAGAGTCTGTAGAGATAACGAAAGTTAACGATTTGAAACTGTTACAGCTTTCTAATTTTAAGAAAATAATTATTATGAAATATTTGCATTTAGTCAGTCTGATAATACATCAGCATTTTATTTGTTATTGTTTGAGATAAAAATAGCCAATGTTACCTTGGAACTCCGAAACGTCAGGGTCGACGAAAATGGTACGTGAAAAAAATAGTTCTCTTGCTTCTACTTACAAGAGAACTGAAGCTGATTGTTCCAGGTTTCTAAATTGACATATCTCTCAGTCACTATCTCAATATCTCGTTTTCAAGTAACGGCGAGTAGCTTTCGTTTTATTTAATTTTCCTCTTGTGTACACCGATCGTCCTTATACGCAGCCTCCTCCGCGTGTGGGTGAAAAGGCGCGAAACGTGTCTCGCATTACGCATGCGGCGCTCCAAGGAGGCATTAATCACTCACTCGCTACAATGTAATTACCGTGCGTGCTTTCTCTCCGCGGTCGTATAAACACAATGGCGCGTAGTGCGTAGAAAACACGCAAGGCCGATGCTTTCCAGACAATGGGAATTATTCAAATGAATCGGCGCAGGTGACCAGCAGCATCGTCCGATCCTCCTATCGGTTGATTCATTAGCTATCTATATATTGCATCCGCTTCCACGTTTATCTCTTTTTTTTTCTTTTATGTATGTGTATACATCTATCAAAGAGAAAGAGGAAAATATTAAATGATACACGAGTCATCGATCATCCCGATTTTCATAGAATTTTTCTCCAATATAATTATGATTAATGAATTTCTGATAATGAGGTGTAATACGTAACGTGGAGCGTATATTTAAACTCGTAAACGTATTGGAATGATTGAACGCCGTTGTACCGCTATAAATACATTCGACATTTATTTTCATATTTGGCGAAGAAATTGGGGTACCCCGCTGATCCGCAAATGCAACGTGCCTCATTACAGATTCAATCGTTTATTACACGCGCGTTCGAGCAGGATCAATTACGTGCTTGCAATTTCGCCGCAATTTGCGACGAAATAAATGAAGGGATAAATGGAAGCCCATGACTTGCGTGTCACGTATTAACGAGTATTTATTCGATGATAAAGTTATAGAGGATCTTTAACTTCGCGTGAAGAAAACCGGTGAAGCGTTTCGATTGCAACTGATTTATATTTTGAGTATTTTTATTTATTCGCTGACATCGCCACAGCATTACGATTATGTAAATGTTAAATATTCTCTCATTACGATCATTAATTCTCCGGTGTTTTAATTTAAAATAAAAAGTAATCTGATCGATGTTTAATATAAAATATTGAAAACTCGCAAAACATGTGCATGACTCTTGTGAACAATTTTGCTATATAAGGTAAGATTGATCGCAAATCGATCAACGAAACTTCCAAACGAAAGGTACATTGGAATATCCTATATATACTTTACACGGAGAAAAACTCGTGAAACGTGTTCTGCAAAAAAAAAAAAAAACGTTGTGAAAGGTTTTCAGGAAACGGCGAAAACGAGCGTGACGCGCGACGTGAACGGACGTATGACACGTTCGATTTTTCGTTCGAGCGGAGTTTTGAGCGAAAATAAAAATCGTCGGCGTTTTTAAACGGCGCTTTCTTTCACGTTCTCTCTCTCTTTTGTCGCGAGGCAGCAACGCGATTCGCAGTCGTTCTGTTTACGACGGTCTCTCGGATTCCGTCTCTCGTATTCGTCACAGTTTGGCCGCGACCCAACTGGTGAGCCGGCCAAGGAATCCTGGCCAGATTCCCCTCGGATATTATTCTCGACTTTTTAACCCCCGAAATTTCCATCGCGCGCGCCGCCGACGCCGGCTGCGAGAGAGAGGCTCTCTCCCTTTTCTCTCTTTCTCGTGTTTCGCGTTTCCATTTTCATCACCTTTCCCGCCTCATCTCCGGCTGACTTCTTTTTCGAGCCGAGACGAAATTCGAGATGAACGGTAAAACGCACGCGAGCGCTGGAATGTAAAAGAGCGCATTACGCCTTTCAGCGCCGCGAGGATCGGCTGGAGGAGCAGGAGTTGATGTAATCCAGTGGTCCTTAACCCTGGTCGGCGTCTCGCATCTCTTGGATTCTCGGAAGACGCTTTCGCGCCGTCACGAGGAATAACGCGCGTCAAATTCTCGATTTTATCTACGCGCGAGAGCGCGCGGTGTGTGCATAAATGTGAGATCGCACTTTTGCGTTATCACTGCTCGAAAAATTTACGACTGCGTTTCTCGCGGCTCGGTGGGGGCGACTCTCTAATTAGGAATTGCTTACGATAACTAGAAAGATAATTTACTCTTTTAGTGCCTGTGTTATGTATATAGCGTGCAATATACACATACAGTACATATATATCTTATCAACGTAAAAGATTCTAGTAACAGGTTCGGTATAGATACATGTTAATGATAGTTTCCTTGATCGATGATAATATCTCCTCAGTAAATGTTTCATGTGCTTCTATTAGATAATTCTGTAGTGGACTCGATTTCTCAATTTATTGTAGCGTAATATACAGGAACTTGTGAAATCCAATTCTCCCAATAGTATTTCCACGGAGGTCGCCTTTCCTCCGCGATAATCAAAATTGCTAGCGAAGCTCTGCGGTGATTGCACTCATTAGGCAACCGCGCGGCAGCTTTCAAGGCTAATAAAAGGAATTGCGGCCCGTATGTCCATTTTCCGACATTGAACGATGCTGCAAGCAGCAGCACGGCCGGCGCTTTTACGAGCGCATCTTACGCCGGCCAGATGCCATGCCACAGTTTCATTAATAAGTTTCTCTTTCGCGAGAATAATATCGCTTCGGCGTTCTCTCGCGCGTGTTACTCGTGCCACGTGAAACCGGGACGACCGGGAATCTTCGTTTCGTTGGCGAAGCGATGAGAAACGCATCTGTCGCCGTCGTCTTTGAATACTCGAGCGGTTCACCAGTATTGTACAAGATGTGCCAAGATAGACATTTTTTACCGAATCGAAGAAAAATCGACTTTTTATATTGCATTAATGATGAGAAAATAATAAGTCTTAAAGTAACGGAATTTGAATTTATAATTTAATTAGTGACACTTGAAATTATAAAAAAGATGATATAGTTTCTCATATATTTAAAGAAGAAGATTTCGTATTATCTCATGGTTGTCGTTAAATTATTAAATGATTATGATGTATAAGTTTCGCGAGAAACGTACAAACGTTTCGCACAATCATCACGATGGATAACTTCGATGCATTAAGGTCATTCTCGGAAAATGCGGTTACAAATTATGTAGGCCTCTGTCTTAATCGCGCTTTAGTGAATCATAGAAATTTTACATCTTGTAATTAACTTGCAGGTATACAAGCACATTATGACATTGCTCACAAATAAAATATATGCAAGGCCACATGCCAAGTCCTATATACGCACAACTTTATTTTTTTGTTATCTACATCGGCCGGAAATATTTTATTCCGAATTCTAATAGATTTTACCTAGCCTGATCTTTATTTTTATATATATATTCGGCAAAAATATCCTAAATTCTATATAAGACTTTAGCGAAGGTTTTATAGAATGTCTCAAGATAACGTAATTTCGGTCGAGGAACGGCGCTCTTGCGCTTGTGACCTCGGAAAAATTTGTAACGCAAGGAATCTGTATACGGTTACGTATACACCTGTCGCATGATCTAATGTCAATAATAGCGCGACTGCATACCGTAACATGTCACTAACCCCTGTGCTCGCTTCGTTTTTCCAGGTTACCCACAAAGTGACGAGTCAGGTGATGGTGCTCAAGATGAATCAGCTGGCGGCGAACAGGCCGAATATGCTGAAGGAAGTCCAACTCATGAACAAGCTCAGCCATCCGAATATACTCAGGTAATTGAGGCGCGAGAATCGAATCCGGTTCACTTTTGCACAGGTGAAACTCCGTTTTGCGATCGAAGAAAATCGCTCGGCCGTACGTGCCGAATTCGATGAGGACGATAAAATGAATTTCTACCCGCTCTGCTTGCCCGCTTAATCCTTATATATGTTGCGAGCAAACGGGCATCGACCCTCTTTCACGCGAGCTGTTTCAATTCGAGCAAAATTTCAGAACGATAGGCGATAAGAAACATGCGCGATGTTGAGTATTTTTGATAGCAATGTTTTCTTATTTTCCAATATATCGCATACCCCGAGAATACACAACTCAAAAAATTTCGATTTTTTTGTTAAGCCCGTAAAAAGTATGATGCCTAAGGTGTCCCTTACATGTTATAATAGTGTCACAAAAGTCTATGCGAAATCTGCTGCACGAGACAGAAATGTCGTTATTTTTTTAGACCGGTTTCCTGGATGAATAGTGTCACAAGTGAATTAACAAGTGAATCACAGCCGACCTCTTCAAGAAGCAGTATAAGTTTTATTATAACAAAATGTCGTAATTGTAATTGCGTTAGTTATTTCACAATTAAAAGAAATTTAATTAAATTTGTTTTTCCTCTTTCTTGAAAATTGTATATTTTTTTAGTTGTGACAGTGTTCTTCTCATAGATTTAACGACATCAACTAATCATTAAGATGCTACATTTTATTTTGCTCTTTATAACTGATTATTTTTACATAAAAGTATTATATTAAGTAAAATTCTCTATGTTCTTCATACTTTTCCAAGAATTGCACTATTTATTATGGCCTGTTTACAGCAAAACTCTCGTGCTTGCGCCTCACGTTTGTTTCGTGTCTTGTCGCGAATCAATTTAAGACCTTCTTTCCGGCATCGTGCCAAAATTCTGGCACAAGATTCTCGTATCAAGTGACTCCACGGTGTTAGCGAAGCACGTGGCGACCGTGTACTTGGAGTAGTCCGTCGTAATCGACACCAATCCAAATTGTAGAATGGTGTTATCGTTTGATTTATCGCCGGGCGATTATATCGTTGGAATTCCTCTCGCTTGGAAGATCGCTGAAATGGGTAAAAAATTAGAAAAAACGGTATTACGCTTTAACTACACTCGTTACGAATTACGACATAATACGTCGCCTAGCGGTAACGGCGTTTAGCTCGGCACGTTGTACCCGTTGCGAAAATTCTTGCTAGGTGCATAGCAGAGAGCAGAATCCAAAGTGCATAATGCATTACGCGTGTTATAACATTTTTCATCCTATAACTAGAAATTAGGTGTGTAGTCATTTAAATTATGTCAATAGTTGTATAATGTCATTTTATATCTCGAGAAGACATTTTATTTTTTACATTTTTAATTTTAATTGTAATCGTTTGCATATTACGAGAAACATTCAATATAATATTTTATTATTTTTGCTTCAAAAATTTAATTTGCTAAAAAAATATTTTCAATTATTTACATATTAAATATTAATTATTTAATACTTTGAAAATTATTGTTATCTCGATACTTTTGTTAATTAATTTCCAACTTCGACATGCGTTCGAATAATTTTACTTTTTGCCAGATCTGGAATTGATACACTGCATCTCTGCGAGCATCCATCACAAAGTCCACTGCGCGAGATAAAAGCGAAGCGAATTCATAGTTTGGGATATGAAAAGTTCGCAATGTAGAGACGGCTTTTCGGTTTTCCATTTTTGTTTTCGGAAATCCAATGCCTCCCGGTTATGACATAACCGTTGCTAGCGCGACGACGCGTTTGACGGAACGCGCCACGACGACAACGCATTCCGACGTTATAAACGGCTTGGCCCAGATTCGGATACGGTGTTTACCCGCCGCGGACCTAGCGGATCTTATTTCTGGCATTTCCCTCGGCGAGGCCGCCGCGAAAACTCCGCGGGTCCTCTCAGGATCGTCCGCTTCGCGGCAACCCGGCTGATTCAGCCGTAAAAATAGTTATCATCTTCACTTGCGGCATTTGCCGCGGGTGTATCATGACACCCGCGCGCTCGTCACGTTGCGTCGTAACCGGAGTTGCTATAGCGCGATAACGTCTATACGGGATACCTTGCATTAATTTCAGGAAGTGTTGACATTGCGCAAGGTGTTCTAAAAAGAGGCATCGGTATTTTTAAACAGCGCCTGACAGCAATAACACGACATAAACATCCGCTTTGTGTGTTCGATTTACTTCAATTAAATTTCTCTTAAATTTCAATAATTAAATAGTTATATTAAAATATTAAAAATTATCTGAAATGTAAAGCGTTCTGTTACACAAATGCTTCAATTGTTCGGCTAATTTGAAGTCTTTTTCGTGATTCGTTAAAAGTACAGTTGGTTATCTTTTAAATATATATTCAAGTTAATGAAGTACTTTGGCATTGCCATGTCGTTTATCAACGATTATTGCCACATTCAACATATCAGTAACTGATATTTATTTTCAAGAAAACAGTAGCGTTTATTTGACAGATTGTTGTTGTGCAATATAGTAATTATATTTTAATAATATATTATTGACACAATATTTTTTATGACATCACTGCTGTGGTGCATAATCAGATACCGCAATACTTTCGAGGAATCGACCGTAAACATCGGTGTTGTAACGTCAGGCGTATCGAGTATTCGACGTAGTATTGTTACAGCAGCATCTCAAGCATCATAATGCTTGGAACGACTTTGTGGGTTAGACAATCGGTGCGCCATCGCTCTCACGACTGAACGAAAACAATCGGACAATGTCCGAAAATATCCCGCGTCTTCAAGAACTCCGCATGATTCTTGTCTCCCCTCGAATGTGCTCCCGATCGATTCGCGGATACTCGTTACACGCGCGAGAACGCTCTTTTACATAATATTTGGCCTGCGGAAAATGAATTCGTCTAGACGGGTGAAAGAGAAAACGTCGCTCTGGCGCTCGACTAGTAGATAATGACGCGGCATAGTCAGACACTCGTATCGACCACCGTGCACTTGGCATCGGACTTTCGATTTAAGTGCATCGTGCGCGGTTGTATTATGATTTGAATCGAAATCAACAGAGGAATGAATTATACACATATCGCTGTAAAATAAGACAAGATACTCAGTCAGTCTGAAATAAAACGAATATATGCAGAGCGGAAGCAGAATGGCCGGAAAAGTAAAGGGTTGAAAGAGAGCGGCAATTTTATAAGATTAGCTATACAATTATCTTGCCAATAAATCATTTTTGTTTTATTCGCTTATATATTGATGTGTACCTTCGTTCGCCTTATCATATCGACTTTCACTCTCACCAGATGTATAATCTTTGAAAATATTTTTTCCTCTCGTTGGAACATTATGCCAAACGTCTATTTAGTGCTCAGAATTCTTCGACGTACGTGACACGACGTAATTAATGTTTCTACTGTGTATCAATCGCGCGAACGACAAGCCTCGGAAGGCGAGCGACAATTTCTCCTCTTATCTGATCGGCAAAAAAAAATGAATCTGGAGCATCGTGCATGCATATATCGCGCCCGCATTTTACCCGAGATAAAAATTCTCCGCCGGAAATTTCTCTTTCACTCGCGCGTTTTGTTCGTCCTCTTCCTTTTTTTTTGTCCTGTCGCTTGTGGGAGAAACGCCTCGTCGACATGCTCGACGAGAAACGCCTCGAAATCGGGACGACACGAGGCACACAACTCGCGATTTTCTTCTCCTCAGCTCTACCATTTGTGCCAAGATTTTACCCTCGCGATAACGCAAAGTGCACTCACCGATTAACTTGCGGGAGAAATGCAAGCAAAGTACTTTACAGGATATATAATCAAGTTGTTTTATCGCAATCTCTGGTATCTTTTTTGAAATAAATTCTCATTTGTGGTTTCGCTATTTACTGAAATAACAAACAAATCGTAAAAACTTATATAATATTGTCGTCTCTCGTACTGTGATTTAGAAGTTAATTATGATTTATAATACAAATCATACATTGAAATTTATTATTTTATTTTACTTATCGATATATCGATGCATCGATATACATGGTAAAATTAATGGAAATGTTTACTCGTTACATGTATATAATTAAAAACTAAAACATTTATGATGTGATATTTGGCAATATTTGTCATTGAATAGTATATTGATTATTTAGCAATATTAAGTACCTTGCTCAAAGGCATTTTCTGATAAATGAGGCCGTGATGTTCTTTGAAACAAGGCAATGTTTAATTCTCTTTAAGATTTAATCCGGCATATGTACTGGCTATAAAGATAACGTCGATGATATCGCGACGATTAAATTACAGTACACAGACACATATTAAAGATATCTAGATTCTTTAATCACCTTTAAAATATATATAATATACACTTTTATTATTCAATAAATGAGCGGTAAATAAACAGTATTCGACAATGTTACCCATAATTTTTTTTTTCCATTTTAGCACAATTTATGTCCCCTTTTTTATTTATTAAATTATTATTTATCGTGTAAAATTACATTTTCAATAATTTAGATTGTTTTCCTCCAGAGTATAAATCGTGTATACGCGTATTTTTTATCTATTTATATTTATTTTATCTTTTTATATATATATCTTTGCACATT